GAGAAGAAAGTGATACAACCCGTAGTGAGCCAGAAATTGATTAGACCCTACCCCCTACACGCAGTTTTATTAAGTTTGATAAACATTTGTTTAATTAGGGGTTGATGTTTCTATCAAGTTTTTTAGATTGTTTGTTTCTTGGTCAAAATTTACTTATTTTGAGTAAATCCTTGTGATATTACTTCGAAGTGCTTTTTGATGTTAAAATATACTTTGTTTATTTATTTATTTATTTATTAGACGAACACAACAGTCGACATTCAAGAAAGATTTAACAAATAAATTTGCTTAAAACTATATTTGGACCAGAATGCCAACCAGGAGCGTGTACGTACAGCATGTTTAGAAAGTTTCTGTCAATTAATTATAAATTACAAATTTTGTGTTGGTACAAATAGAGCAAAAGAAAAGACCATAGAGAAAAAGTGTTAAAATAAAATTGCGAGACTTCAACTAGACTGCTTGAGGACACCCGCAACAGACTTTTTAAATATATGAGTATATGACACTTAGAATTAAATATATCTAACTGTATGTTATCCTTAATTAAGTCATTATAGGTGCGGCACATTCTTGTTATGGGATTGTAAAATGACGTGTTATTTTTAAAAACATTTAGGACAAAAGCCCGAGGACACCGAAGGTTACATCTAATGTTAATATTGATACTAGACAATAAGTTAGCAGAGTCAAGGTGAGAGTGTAAGATTTTATGGAGATATATTAAATCATGCATTGGTCGACGGACACTTAGTGATACCAGATTACATTGGGATAATCTGGTTTCGTAGGCAGGCATCTGACGACGACTATGACCCAATCTATAAAAGAGAGATCTAAGAGCCATCCTCTGCACACCCTCAATTCTGTTGGAATGTACATGGTAGTAAGGTGACCAAATCGCTGTACCATACTCCAAAACGCTTCTTACCAATGAGCTATAAAGATGGATAAAGCTATATGGTTTCTTGAAAGCCTTAGTAGCACGGATCACAAAGCCCAGTGTCTGGTAAGCCCTGCCAACCATGCAATCAAAGTGATTTCTGAAACTTAATTTTTCATCAAATAATACACCGAGGTCTCTAACCACTTTCCGGCGTTGCAGGACATGTCTCTCTAAGGTGTACTCATAAATTATTTTATTACGTTTGTTGGTAAATGTTATAACTAAGCACTTATCAACGTTCAGGTACATTTGGTTTGTTTGGGACCATTGAGCGATAGTATCGATGTCATTTTGAAGAATGATACTGTCACTGTAATTAGTAATCGTATTAAAAATTTTTAGATCATCTGCATACAAGTTACAGGGGCAATGGAGTTTTGCAATCAGGTCGTTAATAAATAAAATGAAAAATAATATAAATAAATGTTTTGTAGAAAGTTTCGCTATTTTTGATGTTTATTGATTCAATTCGTTTTCTTACGGTATTGCTACAATGTACTACACATACAAATGAAATATTTACCTTGTCAGACTGAAAAGTACAACTGTTTTCTACTAAAATAGATATTTTAATTCTATTTCTTTGTGATTATATTGACCGGGTGCACTTCAGAAGGAACAAATATATGGGCATTTTAATTTCGTGAATAATTTTCCTTTCACATTTATAAAAAAACTTTCGTTGCAGAGAAAAATGTATGGAACAATTAAATTTTTATTGAATTGATATTCAATTATTTTTTGTGAAATTACTCCACTAGTTTGTTATAATTATTAATACAAAGATCGAACACTCTTGAGTGTTTTTTCTGAGTGTTCGATCTTTGTATTAATAATTATGTATGGAACAGTTTAAAATAGTTTAAACTGGACTGAGGTCCATGTTCAGGACTCACAGGTCATACAAATTTTGTGCTATGTGAAGAAGATTCGGCCATTTTTTTACTCAGGACTCAGGTGGATAGGGAAAACTAGAAAGTTTCAGCTTTTCCATACAATAAATAAAATTAGAGATATGATATTTTTTCCTTACAAAGAATGTTTTGAATCTCTCTCTCCTGTAATATTTTGCAAATGCACGTTTGACGTTTTCCCTTTCCAGCGTCGATATAATCTTTTGGATGTTGCTTAAATTTCTTATATTTAGTAGCATTTGAACTCTTCTCACTCCTCATTATTTGAAAAATTTTTTTTCAAATAATGGGGAGTGAGTGGGAAGTTAGTGAGTGGGAAGTGAGTGGGGGGAATGGGTGAGTTAGTGGGGAGTGAGTGAGGAGTGTTTATTACGAATTTACGAATTAACTATTACGAATTAATAGAAATTACGAATATAGCATTTATTTCTAAGTCCAAGATGGCGAACACGTCTTTTCAAGTAAATGCACTTTTCAATAAATACTCCTCACTCACTCACTCCCTCACTCATTCACTCACTCACTCACATACGCACGCACGCACGCACTCACTCACTCAATCACGCACTCACTCGCCCTATAAATTTTCATAATTGTCAGTTTTTGTTTGTCAGTAGTTATAAAATTTAAAAAAATATATAAACAAATTATAATACAAATTTCTATACAGTGCAATGAACTTAATATTATCAGCAGTTTCAAATTTGAATGATTTTTGCGTCATTTTGATATATCCATAGACAATACCGCAGTAATCACTGAACTCGAATGGCAATTCTCGCACTCAAAACGGTTCGAACCGATTTGTACGATAATCGTATGAACTTGAAAAAATGTCATACGAGATCGTGTTTAGACAAGTCGAAAACTCGTAAGCAAGAATCTCCTTACTAGAGATGGGTCGTCGACGCGTTTTCCGTTAACGAAACGCAACCGTCCATCGTCGACGATCAACTAGTCGGTCAACTAGTTAAATTCGTCGACTAGTCGATCATTCAACTTAAGTTGGTTTTCGTTCGTGAGACGAGTTTAACTGAATCAAGTTAAGTAACTTTTGAGAATATGAACTATTGTTTTAGAAATTAATTCATTTCGAATGTTTAACATGAGCGCGGCTATCGACGCTTTTAACATACTGTAATAGTTTAATTCCAATAGATTCAAGGGCATTGCGCCACAACGGGCGCAACGCCTCTCTCTCGCTCTAGCGAATTAACTACACCGTCATCCTTTTTCTATTTTGAATGCACTATTGCAATAATAAATAGCATAAAGGCCCATTTAGATGGAGAGAGTTTCTCGTCTCGAAGATACGATTATCGAATTAATATAAAAAAACTTTCCTCGTCTAAACATTTGCGATTATCGACCGTCCACGTGAGCGATAATCTCCTCGCCTTTCAATATTGAACGTCTCCGTGTAAACAGAACTCGAAAGCAAAAATTGTATTTCGAGTTTCTGTGCCAGCCGTTTCTACCACGAGTGCAGTGCGCGAGGGTGTTTTGATTATCACTGCTTTTCTAAGACAAGAATTAATGGAACGAGAGCGAAAAAAAAAATTTCAAATAACGGTGAGTGAGTGAGTGCCTCTATGGTCGAATATAGTGTGGGCAATATAGTATTTAGGGTGCTCTCGTAACGAATATGGCACTCCTTTCTAAATCCAGGATGGCGGGCACGACTTTTCAAATAATGGCAAGTTGGGTATCGTTTTTGAGGTATTTGGGGGTGCTTATTACGAACATAGCATTTATTTCTAAATCCAAGATGGCCGACACGACTTTTCAAGTAAATGTACTTTTCAATAAACACTCCTCACTCACTCACCACTCACTCCCCACTCACTCCCTACTCACTCACTCACTTACTACTCACTCTCTCACCACTCACTCACTCCTCACTCACTCACCACTCACCCACTCACTCACTCACTCACTCACGCACTCACTCGCCCTATAAATTTATCATAATTGTCAGTTTTTGTTTGTGTCAGTAGTTATAAAATTTTTTAAAAAATGATAAATCAAAATTATATTTCTATACAGTGCAATGAACTTAATATTACCAGCAGTTTCAAATTTGAAAAATTTCGATATGTCCATAGTCATACCGCAGTAATCACTGAACTCGAATGGCAATTCTCGCACTCAAAACGGTTCGAACCGATTTGTACGATAATCGTATGAACTTGAAAAAATGTCATACGAGATCGTGTTTAGACAAGTCGAAAACTCGTAAGCAAGAATCTCCTTACTACATATTTCTCTGTGTAAACAGTCGAGGAGGCGATTAAGTTGCTTGCGAATCTCGTATGACATAATCGTAGGCGAGATTTTAGTTCTTGCCTGAATGTAAACATTA